CGCCTCATTGCAGAAAGCAGGAGTTTTGTCCAGAGTCCAGGCAATGAGCTAGGTAGAATAAGCTAAAAGTAGGATCTTCCTGGGCTCCTTCCCATGGCTACGTCACTAATGTCAGTGGCCAGATTTCTGTGATCATTAGCCGTCCCCCAGAAGAAAGCCTGTGAGTGTCACCCCGCATGATATGGTTCCATTACTGAACTTCCTGGTGACTCATTTTCTCCTGCACAGCAGAGTCTTTAAAAAAACATAAAAGCCGATGACTTTAATTATATCAATCCATCTGCTCAATTGTCCCCCACTTGTGTTTTCTAGGCTCCCAGTTGTGAAATCAGAGCATGTGGATATTTCCTCAGAGACTTTTCATTAAATGGTATTCAGCACAGAGAAAGGCATTGTTGAATCTTTAATGTTATGCTACCCATAGATATGTGGGCCTCCTATCCTGCTTGTTTTAGCATAAATTTTATGGAAACTACATCTTTACTATATGCTGAGCACTCAGGACCATAAGAGCCCCATCCTGTGGACAAGAAGCCCAGGATGTTGTAATTTCTCTCTTAGAAAAAAAGAATTCAAACTTCTCTTTTAGTGATGAATTGGCCCACTCCAATATTGAATAGGACAATACTCTAAGGATTCCTTGTGATTAAAATTAGATTATTGAAGGAAAAACGAGAGACTAAATGGAAATATTTCCTGGCTTCTGATTAGCACGTGTTCTCGGGACTGCCCTATGGAACTTGTTTTCCCTGAATTCTGAGTGCATACCCCCTGACGCCCTCCTCATTCCAGAGAACACAGTGGGAATGGCGCCCCCTGATATTAAACACAGTGCTGTGGCTCTGGGTGCCCTTGAGCTTAGCCTCTATAAATTTTACTGTGTAGAAGATTAGTGTCCATCAGTTATTGGGTTTGGTGATTTTTTTTTTTCCAAGCAAAGACAAAATGTGGCCACGTTGCTGTGTGTTCATCCCTCGAAGGAGCTCTGGAGTAAAGGAATGAGATCATAGGTATGAGATGCTCTTAGAAACTCACTTCTCTTGCTGTTTTTGTCTGTCTGTTGGCTGCTGCATGGGCAATGGCCCTCTAGGTACAAAAGCATCTTTTTGCTTCAGCGATGTCACTCATCCCTTCTTCATATGAGCAAAACTACTATTTAATAGAGACTTTTCAAGAAATTTTCATTCTACCAACGTCAGTTTTTTGCCAACACATTGAATTTTTCATGCATCATTAATGCCATTGTTCCCATCTATTTCTATAACACATAATGTTTTCTAGAAGTAGAACTGTCCAGACAGGATAGCAGCTTGGTTGCTAGACCCTAGCTGAATATAAGCTGTCTTCTGCATTACTCTCCAGGCTTGGCTTTCTCACTGGGTTCAGAAACCCATTTGTTAATTTGAATCCAACAAAACATCTGCCTCCCCACTTTTTCATTTCTGGTGCCTTGTAGGTGCCAACTCTGCTGGGTTTTGGAAGCTACACTTGACACCACCTAGATGCAGATTCTAGGATTTGCTACTCTTAGCATCCTAAATACTGTTACCCTATCTTTTCCTTTCATCACTGTGTAAACACCCGCTGCTCTTTTGCTAACTTCTTTTGCAGCCTGTCCTTATGACCCACATACCCCCTCACTTTTAGAGGAAACAAGAAAACATAATGGTAGTGTCATACAGGTATCAGGGAAGATCATAATAAAAAATTTCCCCCAAATATCAAGTCCTGTTCTCAGGACTTACCAAATACTGTCTCATTTATACAAATGACATTTGTGTGTGGTAGTTATCACTTCCTTTGTTCA